AAAAATGGTAAACTTACGACTTGTATAAAATGCGAAAAGTTCTCTTAACTTGAGTATTTTTGAGCAAAAACTACTTTTGGGGTTGGAAGGGCTACGTGATGGGTGACCGAGTTATGCATGTGCGCGTGTCACTCAAATCACAGTGTGGGTTGTATCAAAGAAAGAATCAAATTGCCTGTTAGAAAATAAGATGATATCTATATTAATCTAAAGATTTGTCAGATTGCTGTAGTTTGTTCAGTCAAACATTTTATGGCTTACAATTTAGTTGTCTTACCATTACCGATGTAACTTCGTATGCACAGCATAAATTCCCAGTTTCTTTCTTGCTATACATCGCAACCGAAAAAACTTGTCAAATTAACCTAATCATTACTGTAAACAGTTCCATGAATGCTCCTATCTCCGAGACTTCACAAAAAAATAATTCTTGCACGCCTTGCGTGCCTATGGTTTGCTGAGTGTGACCCATTTTAACGAACGTGACCCCTTTTTCCACGTTTGACCCATTTTTCCAAGTGTGGTCCGTGTTTACAACTGTGACCCATTTTTTTCAAATGTGACCCTTTTTTCTAAGTGTGACCCATTTTTTGAAGTCTCTCAGTTTTTTCCAAGTGTGAAAAAGTTTTTAGTGTGTCATTTTTTCCAAATGTGACCTTTTTTCTAAATGTGACCCATTTTTTCAAGTATGACCCCTTTTTCAAAGTGTGACCCATTTCTCCAAGTGTGACCCATTTTAACAAGTTTGACCCATTTTTCAAGGTGTGACCCATTTTTCCAAGTGTGACCCATTTTTCAAAGTGTGACCCATTTTTCCAGGTGTGGCTGTTTTCCAAGTGTGACCAGTTTTTCCAAGTGTGACCCTCTTTTCTAAGTGTGGCCCATTTTTTTAAGTGTGACCCTTTTTTCTAAGTGTGAGCTATTTTTCCAAATATGATTCATTTTTCCAAGTTGACCCATTTTTTCTGTTTGGCAATTTTGCTTAAGCCTGTCTCACAAAAGTTGCGTATCACTTAGCCTGCGAACGCAGACGTATTTGCGGCTGTCGTCTGTCTCCGCCGAGCTTTGATCGCTTGAAATTCTCTATTTCATCGGCACCCAGGATCTTTCTTTGTAACACTCTTCAAACTACTCCGAACAGAGTAACAACAATAACTGTCTTTTTCTCTCGAAGATTGGAACCATGATGATCACGATGGATCCACGAACCCGCCATTTGTACCAGACAGTTAAAAAATAGAAACTTCTGCGATGCCAGCTTTAAAAAACGGAAAGGAATCACTTTTGATGGACTCTCGTGGTTTATGAAACCATTTGCACGACACGGCGAATCAAATTTGGCTGGGAATGAGCGATGGTCCGCGAATTTGATCGATAGAGGCGAACAGAACATGGATTTGCCGCCATGCTCTAGTTCGCGCCACCCATTCTTTAATCGAATTTCGTGCGATGCATATACAGCGAAGCCTCTGGTTGTAAGATTACCTATTTTAACTTTTTTAACTAGGCTATATATGGGGTTGTGATCTGGTTTACCGCATTATATTATTCTGTCGTGCTAATCGGCTCATACACCACAAACACCCACAAACTGTGCAGTAATGACAGATTTATAATCTAATTAGCACAAGCACCATGACGTCACCGGAAATTAGAACTCATGTCCTACTGCGTATTTCAGAGTCTCATGAATCTCGTCATGGTGGCACTTACTTTTTCAGAAGTGTAAACCACATTGGAGGTTAAAGATATACCAACATGTCATTGGCTACAAAAAGAAATATCCATCATGCTTCAGTGATAAATAGCAGTGAAAACCAATCGTTGCGTCACAAATTTGGTTTGCAAAAAGATAACTTATATCAGGAGTTTTCTCTTACCCCACCCCAGCGTTATCAATACAATTCAACTCTTTTCTATTCCTTTCTCTCCCTGTAAGTCGATCATGAAACTGATACTGACGTCTCTTTTAATTCCCACCCCGATCAATGATG